GAGCCCCTAGTAGCGTCCTTGCTCCTAGTAGCGATGCCAGGAGCCCCGAGTAGCGTCCTTGCTCCTAGTAGCGATGCCAGGAGCCCCTAGTAGCGCCCTTGCTCCTAGTAGCGATGCCAGGAGAGCCAGGAGAGCTCCAAATATTTCAACTATGTCAACCGATGTCAAGATTTATGTTTCTTTCCGCCAGCCTCTTCTTGCCAGGGTGGTCTGAATTGGCCATGCCATCAGGGACTCGAACCAGCTTTGCTGTTGATCGCTCCCATGTGTCCCAGGCCGTCTCTTGTGTCTTCTGGATAATTGCGCTAACCTGAATTCAGGAATTCAGGTCTCTATGGGTCTTCAGTTGGAATGGTGGCTACTGGTTGCTAGAACTGATTCCATCTAATCCGTCACATCTATGCGGCCAACATGCATCTCTGAAGGAGGAGCACATGTCGCTTGGAGCATGCACCGCCAAAACAACAGGCACCCGCGCCAACTTGCACGCCTCTCTCTCCAGGAAAAGATCAAATATTTCTCCTGAGAAATAAGCAAATGGCTGTATATTTATAAATTCTAGTGACAGAATCACATACTTACCAGGATGAAAACGGCGTTCCATGCATATTCAGCGTCACATCGCTTCACACCAACAACGAGTGGATCAGCATGGATCAGCGATGGCCTCCACCTAGTAGCGTCCTTGCTCCTAGTAGCGATGGCCTCCACCTAGTAGCGCCTTGCTCCTAGTAGCGATGGCCTCCACCCTAATAGCGATGGCCTCCACCTAGTAGCGTCCTTGCTCCTAGTAGCGACGGCCTCCACCCTAACACCAATGGCCTCCACCTAGTAGCGTCCTTGCTCCTAGCCTCCACCCTAATAGCGATGGCCTCCACCTAATAGCGTCCTTGCTCGTAGCGATGGCCTCCACCCTAATAGCGATGGCCTCCACCTAGTAGCGTCCTTGCTCCTAGTAGCGATGGCCTCCACCCTAATAGCGATGGCCTCCACCTAGTAGCGTCCTTGTTCCTAGTAGC